CCATCCGTACTTGCTGATGACGGGGATCGAACCTGGGACTCCCGGATGACAGGCGTGAACTCAACCACTGCACCACAATAGAGGAGCTGCAGATCACGTCGTTAGCGAGGCCGCGCATCCCGGAGAGGGAGTCCTTCCCAAGTTCGAGAGCGCATGCGTAACCACGTGCCATTATCACCAACTCATCTGACTCTGCGCACAGCCTGCTCGCGCTCAATTTGGGAAAGTGGGCACTACACACTTTCCGGTACCAGGAATTGAACCTGGGTCCTGCGAGTGACAGGCATGAATGCTTACCACTACGCTACAGCGGAGGGATTGGCGGCTACGTACTTCCGTGAGCAGCCACTTCGCAAACGCCGAAGAGTAGCCTATCCCAATGTATGTGGCTGCTGCGCATTTCGCCTCACAGCAGTCATGAACTTTCACCAGACGGCATCTGCACGCACGATTCGCGTTCCGATCGGCCTGCACCGGTTTTTCACTCCGTCACAGTGCAATCACAGACTGTCACAGTCCATCACGAAAAGACGCCTGCAAAACGAGTTCGGTTTCGTCACTCACACTCCCTCACGACCTGCATACCGATTTCGCTTTCGCCTTTCAGACACTTTCACACGCTGCAACCAAATTTCACCCATCACAGCGCATCACACCGCCCGGACTCACTAGCACCCACACCCTATCAGTCATCGAGCGAGGGTCTTTCTCGGACGAAGTTCGGAAGAAGTGGTACGAATGCACACTAGTCGGTACCACATCTCTCACATATTTGCCCTGGGGTTACGCACTGGCTGATTAAATGACCGTGTCACCATCGGTTGCACCCAACCCTCTCAAAATTTCAAGGCTAACGACTGCTTGTGGCCAGGCGCGCATACATGGATTCTGTGGTGACTGGTGACACCATGCAATAATGAAGAATTATCATATATATATCTTTTATTTCTAATCTCTGTGTCACCAGTCACCACCACATTCAATTCCTTAGTCATGCGGTTACTCTCTCTCATGCGCCCTTACATTCACCACGATCAAGGGTGACACAGGGGCTTCTGCATCACCACCTACGCTACCATTATCATACCACTCCCCACTCAACGCTGTGGACTTTTGGACAACAGGCAGCCTCACAACCCATTGATTTCAGCGAAGGGCTATGACTGCGACGCGCTCGACTTGAGCGATAGTAAGGGGAAGCGCGCGAGGGGGTAATAACGCAGTCACGGGTAATCGAACCAGCGTCCACTCGAGATTGATCGCCGCGCAGTGGGAAATGAAGTCTAGGTAGGGGTTGGTCGACCGGGAATCGAACCTGGGTGGGAAGCCACAAGGACCCACGACCAGATACCGGCCAGCGATGAGTCGGATCAAGCTGGAGCAGGGCGGCATTCGAGTGCGCCATTGGAAGTTGCCAGGGATCGAACCAGGGTGGGGCGTACGATGCATAGACCGAAAGAGAGCGGGGTAGGATGGATCATGGGACCCTGCGTACCAACAGAGATACAGAGATTAAGAAGTATGAAAGATGTAGACGCATAGGATTGAACCTGCGATTGAACCTATAGATAGACTACAAGGAATAAATGGAGAACCCGGGCATCGATCCCGGTGCCTCTCGCTTGCTAAGCGAGCGCTCTACCATTTGAGCTAGTCCCCCTCGCACATATACTCAGAAGTTGCTCCCGAATATATGACCCCATCCCCTCCGACCCCTGTACAAAGTTGGAAAATGGATGAAGGCCACCGTGGGCGGCGAGCCAGCCGATGGAACATTGTCCTGGGGGTGAGGGGTCGCAGTGCTCATGCGCACAGCTCGCGAGACTCCAGTGAGTCGCTCACATCCTCTCCTTCCTGCAGAGTCGACATGCGCATATATCCAGGGACTACACCATCCGTACTTGCTGATGACGGGGATCGAACCTGGGACTCCCGGATGACAGGCGTGAACTCAACCACTGCACCACAATAGAGGAGCTGCAGATCACGTCGTTAGCGAGGCCGCGCATCCCGGAGAGGGAGTCCTTCCCAAGTTCGAGAGCGCATGCGTAACCACGTGCCATTATCACCAACTCATCTGACTCTGCGCACAGCCTGCTCGCGCTCAATTTGGGAAAGTGGGCACTACACACTTTCCGGTACCAGGAATTGAACCTGGGTCCTGCGAGTGACAGGCATGAATGCTTACCACTACGCTACAGCGGAGGGATTGGCGGCTACGTACTTCCGTGAGCAGCCACTTCGCAAACGCCGAAGAGTAGCCTATCCCAATGTATGTGGCTGCTGCGCATTTCGCCTCACAGCAGTCATGAACTTTCACCAGACGGCATCTGCACGCACGATTCGCGTTCCGATCGGCCTGCACCGGTTTTTCACTCCGTCACAGTGCAATCACAGACTGTCACAGTCCATCACGAAAAGACGCCTGCAAAACGAGTTCGGTTTCGTCACTCACACTCCCTCACGACCTGCATACCGATTTCGCTTTCGCCTTTCAGACACTTTCACACGCTGCAACCAAATTTCACCCATCACAGCGCATCACACCGCCCGGACTCACTAGCACCCACACCCTATCAGTCATCGAGCGAGGGTCTTTCTCGGACGAAGTTCGGAAGAAGTGGTACGAATGCACACTAGTCGGTACCACATCTCTCACATATTTGCCCTGGGGTTACGCACTGGCTGATTAAATGACCGTGTCACCATCGGTTGCACCCAACCCTCTCAAAATTTCAAGGCTAACGACTGCTTGTGGCCAGGCGCGCATACATGGATTCTGTGGTGACTGGTGACACCATGCAATAATGAAGAATTATCATATATATATCTTTTATTTCTAATCTCTGTGTCACCAGTCACCACCACATTCAATTCCTTAGTCATGCGGTTACTCTCTCTCATGCGCCCTTACATTCACCACGATCAAGGGTGACACAGGGGCTTCTGCATCACCACCTACGCTACCATTATCATACCACTCCCCACTCAACGCTGTGGACTTTTGGACAACAGGCAGCCTCACAACCCATTGATTTCAGCGAAGGGCTATGACTGCGACGCGCTCGACTTGAGCGATAGTAAGGGGAAGCGCGCGAGGGGGTAATAACGCAGTCACGGGTAATCGAACCAGCGTCCACTCGAGATTGATCGCCGCGCAGTGGGAAATGAAGTCTAGGTAGGGGTTGGTCGACCGGGAATCGAACCTGGGTGGGAAGCCACAAGGACCCACGACCAGATACCGGCCAGCGATGAGTCGGATCAAGCTGGAGCAGGGCGGCATTCGAGTGCGCCATTGGAAGTTGCCAGGGATCGAACCAGGGTGGGGCGTACGATGCATAGACCGAAAGAGAGCGGGGTAGGATGGATCATGGGACCCTGCGTACCAACAGAGATACAGAGATTAAGAAGTATGAAAGATGTAGACGCATAGGATTGAACCTGCGATTGAACCTATAGATAGACTACAAGGAATAAATGGAGAACCCGGGCATCGATCCCGGTGCCTCTCGCTTGCTAAGCGAGCGCTCTACCATTTGAGCTAGTCCCCCTCGCACATATACTCAGAAGTTGCTCCCGAATATATGACCCCATCCCCTCCGACCCCTGTACAAAGTTGGAAAATGGATGAAGGCCACCGTGGGCGGCGAGCCAGCCGATGGAACATTGTCCTGGGGGTGAGGGGTCGCAGTGCTCATGCGCACAGCTCGCGAGACTCCAGTGAGTCGCTCACATCCTCTCCTTCCTGCAGAGTCGACATGCGCATATATCCAGGGACTACACCATCCGTACTTGCTGATGACGGGGATCGAACCTGGGACTCCCGGATGACAGGCGTGAACTCAACCACTGCACCACAATAGAGGAGCTGCAGATCACGTCGTTAGCGAGGCCGCGCATCCCGGAGAGGGAGTCCTTCCCAAGTTCGAGAGCGCATGCGTAACCACGTGCCATTATCACCAACTCATCTGACTCTGCGCACAGCCTGCTCGCGCTCAATTTGGGAAAGTGGGCACTACACACTTTCCGGTACCAGGAATTGAACCTGGGTCCTGCGAGTGACAGGCATGAATGCTTACCACTACGCTACAGCGGAGGGATTGGCGGCTACGTACTTCCGTGAGCAGCCACTTCGCAAACGCCGAAGAGTAGCCTATCCCAATGTATGTGGCTGCTGCGCATTTCGCCTCACAGCAGTCATGAACTTTCACCAGACGGCATCTGCACGCACGATTCGCGTTCCGATCGGCCTGCACCGGTTTTTCACTCCGTCACAGTGCAATCACAGACTGTCACAGTCCATCACGAAAAGACGCCTGCAAAACGAGTTCGGTTTCGTCACTCACACTCCCTCACGACCTGCATACCGATTTCGCTTTCGCCTTTCAGACACTTTCACACGCTGCAACCAAATTTCACCCATCACAGCGCATCACACCGCCCGGACTCACTAGCACCCACACCCTATCAGTCATCGAGCGAGGGTCTTTCTCGGACGAAGTTCGGAAGAAGTGGTACGAATGCACACTAGTCGGTACCACATCTCTCACATATTTGCCCTGGGGTTACGCACTGGCTGATTAAATGACCGTGTCACCATCGGTTGCACCCAACCCTCTCAAAATTTCAAGGCTAACGACTGCTTGTGGCCAGGCGCGCATACATGGATTCTGTGGTGACTGGTGACACCATGCAATAATGAAGAATTATCATATATATATCTTTTATTTCTAATCTCTGTGTCACCAGTCACCACCACATTCAATTCCTTAGTCATGCGGTTACTCTCTCTCATGCGCCCTTACATTCACCACGATCAAGGGTGACACAGGGGCTTCTGCATCACCACCTACGCTACCATTATCATACCACTCCCCACTCAACGCTGTGGACTTTTGGACAACAGGCAGCCTCACAACCCATTGATTTCAGCGAAGGGCTATGACTGCGACGCGCTCGACTTGAGCGATAGTAAGGGGAAGCGCGCGAGGGGGTAATAACGCAGTCACGGGTAATCGAACCAGCGTCCACTCGAGATTGATCGCCGCGCAGTGGGAAATGAAGTCTAGGTAGGGGTTGGTCGACCGGGAATCGAACCTGGGTGGGAAGCCACAAGGACCCACGACCAGATACCGGCCAGCGATGAGTCGGATCAAGCTGGAGCAGGGCGGCATTCGAGTGCGCCATTGGAAGTTGCCAGGGATCGAACCAGGGTGGGGCGTACGATGCATAGACCGAAAGAGAGCGGGGTAGGATGGATCATGGGACCCTGCGTACCAACAGAGATACAGAGATTAAGAAGTATGAAAGATGTAGACGCATAGGATTGAACCTGCGATTGAACCTATAGATAGACTACAAGGAATAAATGGAGAACCCGGGCATCGATCCCGGTGCCTCTCGCTTGCTAAGCGAGCGCTCTACCATTTGAGCTAGTCCCCTCGCACATATACTCAGAAGTTGCTCCCGAATATATGACCCCATCCCTCCGACCCCTGTACAAAGTTGGAAAATGGATGAAGGCCACCGTGGGCGGCGAGCCAGCCGATGGAACATTGTCCTGGGGGTGAGGGGTCGCAGTGCTCATGCGCACAGCTCGCGAGACTCCAGTGAGTCGCTCACATCCTCTCCTTCCTGCAGAGTCGACATGCGCATATATCCAGGGACTACA